GAAGGATTTTTCAACAAATCCTAACATCGTGTGTATAAAGCTTTGAGATAGAGAAAGAGACGCGAACCTCAGGCTCCTCGTGTGGGGTGCCTTATAAAACTCAGGATTAGTGAACTCAAACAGTTCTTTAGCATCCCTCGGGCTTTTATGGGAGATTTCCAAAAAGGCAGCCACAAACACTTGGAAAAACAAAGTGAAAGAGCTTCCAGGCGGCTTAAAATACTTATACGAGCATGAGCCACTACAAAACAAGAGAGTGGCAACCAGAGTGCATATAGCCGGGATCCCGAACCGGAGGGACTACGGCTTTATGTAGGGACGTCCCCACGCGGCAACAGAAGTGACGATTATAATTGCCAAGACGCTGTAAAAGAATCTCCAGAACGTGCTCCCGTCAAGCTCCTCCCCACTGAACTGCTCATTAATGAACGAGGTCAAAGAAGTCAAGTGCTCGGCCATTCCAAAAGCTATTAGGGGCATAGCCGTGTAGAAAAGCACTTTTTGGACATGGCCAATGCATTCGGGTCTGTACTCTTACTCTCTGCACGTGCCTGTGCGGTTTGCCAGCACCGGTGGGGTCGACATTGTCAAAAGGCCCAGTCTCTTAACACCAAAATAATTATTATTATTTTTTTTTTAAAAAAAAAAGAGTTGATCTTCAGAGCAGGGTCGGTATCAGATTTTGTTTTACGACACTGTAAGATCTGGAGAGAAGAAGCATCCAGTATGGAGTATAACTTCACCTTCCTCGTCATGTGACAGTGCTGTTTCGGTGCCCACTATTTCACCTGCCTCTGCATCATAAAGTCCTTCTTGGATGACGTAATGCTAGAACCGAAACTAGTGAACTTTCGGGTGAGGGAAGTACTTTATGACGAAGAGGCATGTGAAATAGTGGGCACCGAAACACCACTGTCACGTGACAAGGAAGGTGAGGTATACTCCATACGTGAGTCCTCACACGTCAGGAGCAGTCAGGAGCAGCGGGGATAACAAGACGACACCCCTAAAAGACATTCACGATTGCAACTGCATGCGTGAAGCCGAGGTCCCAAACGTCGGTCAAGTATGTCATCATTATGTACATGGCATATATTGCAAATATGTCCAGCCACATCAAAACTATATAAAAAATAAAAAAAGGCAGAACAGAAGATGAGGAGAGGTAAGAATTGAGTCCCAAACGAGTAAAAACGAGAGTATATGTATTAACTAAACTAATTCAAGAAGAAAAAGAATATCAATACTATCATCACATAACTAGAGAACATTAGAGAACGGTGGAGAATAAACTATATGGGCTTACCCACTACTCTAGCTACTGTGACCACTTGAGCTTCGTTGTTATCTCTGTCCCTGCCAAATAAACAAGAACAAGAACCAAACTTTATCAATTCCAGTGAAATCTTATTGTAAATACTTGGTCCTTAATAGAAACCAGCTGCCTTGTTTTGGATAGTAATAGCAATTAAATGCAGCTGATTGATGCTTCAGCTAGTTGCAAACAGGTTTTATGTACAGCAAAGATGGTGGCCTAGTATTGTGGAAGATTCTTGTACCCTTTGGATTTTCTTTATTTTATATTATTTTTTGGTAGCGCGTAAAAGATCGATTGATACTTCCTGGATTAAAAATTGCAGAAAGTCATGTAATCAATACCGTGTTAATATGGCGAAGACATGAGGGCAGGTACTAATGACATGATGGTTGAAAGTTTAATAAGCAACTACAGCAGACTAAATAGATAAGACAAAGTTGGGAGAAAATTTAGCAGTATGTTGATTTGGTAATATAATTGAACTGTTTAAGACTAAGAAACCTAACTTCAACTTTCCAGTCTTACCATTTGGGATACTCATTTACTATTCAACTTGCAAGAAAATTGCCAAAAATAATTATCATCATAACTGCCAAAGAAATCCCAACACAGGATCCCATCCTCTAGATAAATCAAAGATGTACAGCCAACACAATACCACATGCAAGTAACCTATTTCCTTAAAGTGATCATCAAGAAGAAATGAATATCCAAACTCCAAAAACCGAACAGATACTCACACATTACGATCCCAGACGATCTTTACCGATCACAAAACCGAGACGACCCCAGAATTGCATGTGCTCTGCCAAACTTCAATCCCTTCAACATCTTCTCTAGTCACAAATAACCTATTCCCACCGCCTTCTATTTTCTTGATAGAACCTCGACTTGAATCCTCGATTTTATCCACATAATTCCTCCTATAAACCCCTTCGCTCACAATCTCCTCATTTTCGTTGCCTTTCACCCTCGACCAAACCTCCAACTCACCTTCCCTCCCGACAAACACTTGATTATGGTAACAATGAACTACAAAATTGCCGCCACCATTGCAGCCCACATTCCTCATGCTCGGATTCTTTTCCTTCAAGTAAATCCACGGGTCATCACTCAGCTTGCGTAAATCCGCCATGGCCAAATCGCCCGATTTAGAGCAAATCTTGAATAAAGACAGCTCATTTAGGTCGACATCACTATCGGCGAACGAGTCTCCGAACCGGCTGCTCCGGCCCGAGCCCGGCTCGTTCGTCTCCCAAACCACGTCCCGAGTTCTCGGGTCCCACAGACGGATATACCCGGAATATCCGAATGCCCCGGCAGTAACCGAGCTACCTAATAGAATCCCCATATCTGGAACATACTTCAGCTTTGAAGGAACCAGATACTTTGAAGAATTCCCGGACATCCTACCGATTTCCGATGAAATCCTCATCGTGGGTTTATCGATCATAAGGATGCAGTTCTCGCCGTGCTGGCATTCGAAAGAGGCGAAAACAGAGTCGTCCGAGTCGACAGCCGTGTGGACTCGGGCCTT